TGTACTACACTCCCCGTACTCGATGAGGGCGATATTGCCACTTCAGGAGTCGGGCGTGGTAACCGTCGCTCCTCGCGGAAAATCTCCATGACCGAAAAAATAGCATTATTTGAAACCACTGACCACCAAGTAGTGGTGTAGACCTGCAATCTTCAGGGTCAAAGCTAGCCACCATCGATGTTGGTTTTCAAGTGGTTGATGTTGCTAATCTCTTTACCATTCCACAAGATATATTCCAAACTTTCTTTGAATGTGCAGGTTGTGTGAGGGTTCGTCCATGTAAATGAATGATTCTCCCTCTGCTACTTCTATCATTTCTGTTCCACAACGTACCAGTAACTGAAAATTGATCATATCAGGATTTTTAGTGCCCCAGCCAAAAGTTTCAGCTAGAAACAGCAAGCTTTCCATCAGTAAATGTGTGCCACTTCCAGCAGGAACTGCAGCATTTCCAACCAGAACTAGTAGTAAATTGGTATGCCGTTTCCAGCTGGAATGAACCACCAACAGGATCCAGCTGGATTCCACGCTGTATTCTGCTGGATTTTTGCTTTTTCTGTCGGAAAATGCCTACCTTCTAATTCCCGATTGGAAACATTTACGTTTCTTGCACGCAATCCACCAGCGGAAAAGTCCATCACATACCGGGTAAAACTAGTAATATTTCCAACCGGAACTTTTTGCCGCGGTGAGCCCCGGACAAACTTTGGTATTCTCTTTAAACAAGAGCAACGCTTCGCAATTCCCAATAATTGTACAGTTCATTCATTTAATAGTTGGCTGTCATGTACTAGTAAGTGAACAGAGATGCATTCTGGCTTGTGACAGCTGCATTTTTAAATGTAAAAATGACTTCCTGAAAGCAGTTCTTTGCCAGTCCAGTTGTGGTGGTGTTCATGTGAGGAGAGTGCCTGTTGAGAAAAGAATTTGATCCTTTTAAGCATTTTTGTGGTGTTTCTTCCTCGTCAGAATATAATTATTTTTTGTCAGAACTTCTCATTAACCCTTTTAGTGCCACGGGCCGATATTTTGGCCACGAATTTTCCACGCACCTGGCCCTTTAAGAGCCAAAAGAAGGTAGTATTGTGCAAACCAATAGAGTTTCGTTGAACCCTACTTCCACTTCTGTATTTTGTAGATAAATTGTAAAAAAAAAACCTGTTGGAGAATGTAAAATAAAAAGTGTATGGACATCATTTAGTTAAATACTCCATTTTGAGTGAAAACATGCCTGGCAGTAAGAGGGCCTTTTTGTCAGGAGTTGAAATGTATTATTGTTCTATGAGGGCCAATCAATTAAAGGATGCCTACCCTTTCCATTCCACTTTGGTGTCCATAATTGCAGCACTGCCTTAACATGAATACCTTCAATTGGCTCCTGCATGCCCTTATCTTTGACGTTTTCTTCCCAGACTTTGAATGTGGTACCAAATGTGTTGCATTCCAGGCATTCTGGGAGGTTTTCTGAGTTCTGGCAAGCAAATTTCTTTACAGTGTAGCTCTGCCAGTTTGTTCCAGGAAGCACAAACCTTATCTAAAACTTCCATTGTGGCTTTGCACCTCTATAGTATGTCATCTACAGTTGACATGTCACGTCATTAAAGGGGTCCTGTGACATCATCTGTGATTAGCTTCTTCTGTTAGGCAATAGTTCTCAACCTTTTTTCACCCACTGCATCCTTTTTGGGCAAAGAGACATTGGTGGCACCCCTGCACGCTCCAATAGACTGCCAGAAACAAAAATACAGGGGTAAATGAAAAATCTCAAGTCCAGGAGCTCTAAACATTTCATGAAAATTTTATGCACTATCACTATCAAGGTAATCACTTCTAAGGTATCATTTATTCAAAGGTATCATTTTGCTAGTTGTACCATTATTGCACTTTAGCAAGACACCTGTGCCTACCTCTTGTTGCACAGGATATCTAGGCGTGGCTTAATTTTTGATGCAAACACGCAGAGGTCATTTTCAATATTGAAACGGAACCTGACCTTGTTCTTATGTGTTCAGAATGAGACGGTTGATATGTAATAGCAAAAGGAATCAATACCTTCATTGCAACAACATACAGATCTTTGTACTCTTCCTTGATTGACTGTCAGAAAGTGACACATTTGAAGAAGTTCCTCAACGGGTTCAATGCACAATTCTAAGAATTGCTCCTCAAGAATTGCATCCCAAAAGGGAAATTCAAACACAGGAGTGAGAAATGGATTGCATATGAAGGAAAACTTGCCTCATTTATCCTGGTCTTGGAAGCATTCCTCAATGTCTTTTTTTATGCCTTAAGTGATAAATGATTGTTGTCATTGAAATAACCACTTTCCTCAATGTAACCTGTTGAAATGTGTTTCAAATCAACTTTGTGTTGATCTGAAATACATAATTGTGTAATATACTTTTTTAATAATATGATTTTTCAACTCCAACATTGATCAACTCATTCACCACTGTCTTATAGTGAAGTTGATCTTGAAACAGTACTGATTCTGTTAAGCTTCCCAATGGAGGACTGCCATATCTTTCCCCTTCAATGAGTGTCATAAATATTGCTGTCATTATTATACAGGGTGGTCATAATGTCCCAAACTATTTGATTGAAAAACTCAAAATTCTTACAAAAATGCATAATGTGCACTTCACATTGTCAATAATGAACCAAATAAAACTGGTGATAATAAATTAAAAATGAGGTATTAGCATTTTTTATTACTGAAGTTCCACATGACCACTTTCCAAATCGATACATAACTGCAATCAATCTGTTGTTTCCCTGAACATTTGAGATGTTCAGCATGTCAGAGGTTATGGTGTTAACAGCAGCATAGATACGATCTCTTAAATCTTCAACAATGAGAACCTTTGTGCTGTAAACCTTCGACTTTATGCAAAAATCCCATGCAAAAAAGCCCAAGGGGGTTAGGTCAGGTTATTTTGAAGTCAACATTCTGTTTGACCTTCAACCAATCCAACAGTTTGGGAACTTCTCATTAGATAATCTCGCACAATGTTTGAGAAATGAAATTTTGGCTTCAAGATTCCCTGACCTAACCCCATTTGACTTTTTTGCATGGGGTACAGGGGGGCTGGGAAAGGGTTAAGTCAAAGGTTTACAGCACAAAGGTTCTCAATATTGAAGATTTAAGAGATCATATCTATGCTACTGTTAATACCATAACCACCCACGTGAAAATTCCACGTATGACAGGGTGTATGGATCTGTATGGTCATGTATGATCATATATTTGCCATATACCACCATATTTGTATTCATATATTAACAATTGTATGGTGCATAATATATTTTACCTGCATTGCAATATTATGTATGATGGGCAAATGGCATCATGCCTGATATGTGGTGAATATGCATAGACAAGTCTTATGGTTATAAGTAAAACATAGCATGAGGTCAGTGGTGTATTTTGGTTGAAGAGTCAGGGGGGACAGGGCAGCGGAGTGGAGGCACCAAGCCCTGTCCCAGGGATGCCCGGGGGGGGCAGCTGCACTCCCCTGCCCCCTCCCTAGAAAATATGCCACTGCATGAGGTTTTTACACATGAGGGCAATTGACCTTCAGATGCCTCTGCAACTTATTTTTAATGCACCTATTGTATTTTACATGAAATATTAAGTACATAACCCTTAAAGTAACTTGCCAAAAGTTTGATTTTGAACTCCCCCAGCTGAAAGTCCTTGTTGGAAACAGCCATAATTTCCAGCTGAACCTCAGTTGGAAATTCAGACCCATTCCAACTGGGTAGCAGCTGGAAAGTAAAGTCAGATCCAGATTGTTCCTAATTGCAATACACTGGTAGAATGAGAATGTTTTTGTTGGTTATTCTTGCTGGAGGTCCATCTACAGAAGCAGCTGAATTTCAACTGGAGGGTCCTCTGTATAAAATTATAATGGTAAATTTCCAGCTGTAAAACAACCTGTATCTACNTTTGTCTTTTAATAGCATTACTGATGAAAATACTTGTGAAGGTTCAAGTCTATAATATTGAAACTTTCGCCTTTATTTACAAGGGTGCACATGTTGAACACCATGAAACATGCATTCTTGGAGTAATTGACTGTGGTCTATGAACAATTGAAAATGAGTTGAGTGAAAGTTAAGTATGGTGACTTGCATATGAATCGTCATACAGTATTAGATGGATTATGGACCCTTTTTGGATACAGACTTGTTTCGGGTAATCTCACTATACATAGGTATGACATGGCATATATGGACAGTACATGGTGCATATGTATGAGCCATTATATGAAAATGTATGGGGTCATCCATTTTCATTCTTATATAATTTAATGTGACTTGTGTCAAACCCCATACATGTTTCATAAATGTTCATATATGTATTGGACTATATGGTCATATATGCCCCTTATATGTCAGACTGGTTAAATATATGGCCATTTCATATATGGTCTTATATGAAATTTGCATGTGGGCACTGACATTGAACATCATGAAAGTTCAGGGAAACAACAGATCGATTGCAGTCATGTCTCAATTTGGAAGGTGGTCATGTGGAACTTCAGTATTAAAAAATGTCATTAACTGATTTTTTAATTTACTTTCACCAGTCTTATTTAGTTCATTATTGACAATGTGAAGTGCACATTATGCATTTTTGTAAGAATTTTGAGTTTTTCAGTAAAATAGTTTGGGACATTATGACCACCCTGTACAGTATTTCAGGCATAATGCTAGATTCCACTATTTTTATGTAGGTAATGGAAGAATTCCATTAATAGTCCAATTGTAATGAGTGTATACACCAGCTTACACTGGTAACATCAATAGAAAAAGTTAAGGTCAATTATTAGGATTGATGATGTTCTTGGATTTGACAGATACAGCAAAATAAGTTATCACTCATCAACAGTGATTGAGAATTCATCTTAATAGCTTCATCATGGTATGTAGGTGCTCTGCATGGAGGAAGAGGCATGAAAAAATTATTAACAAGTCACATGTAACATTTTTTCAGTCATCCATTTATTCATACTTTGAAAGTTCACTATCCTTACCTCACTCACATCAATAAAAATAGTTCTAGCACAAAAAAAAAGTTGTCAGGATGTATAGCCATAGTAATGCCTCTCCATGTACGCAATGTTCATGTCTTGGGAATTGCGTCTCAACCGCCTCCCAATAGGCTCCAAGTCAGCATAACATTGTGGAAAGACTGATTCCACTGCATTCCTTGCCTCTTCAAGGCTCACCTTCCGCACTGCCAACACTGACATTATTGCCTTGTCCTTCACACACTTCTGTTGACAGGAACAAAATGATAAGGAACATGCAAGTTTGTATGGAAAAAAGAGAGAACACAAGTGCCAAGGGGGAAGAACTAACTGCATGTTGGTTTGCTATGGAAAATGGGCTGACATTCCCTTCAACCAATGCACTCATAAAACTGCAATGGGCGAGGTTTGCTGCTCGAATCTCAGTGCATGCCAAGTGCTGCAAATTCTGACAAATAAGGAATAGTTAGTCCACCTCATCCAATTTACCCAGGAATTAGACATGCACTGATAAAATAATATTCCCTGAATGGCATCCTCAACTGAAAAGTTGAAAAATCTCTTGATGTCAAGAGCTTCTTTTGCACCTTATCTTCACCAACACAGACAAGAAGCCAGACGAGGAACAAACCTTGAAGTCAAGCTTGTTCCTACAGTAGTCAAACATATGGATCATTTCATGGAAGAGAACCCCCTGCACCACAGAGTCTTGTCTGCACATGTTCTGACAAACAACTATCTGCAAAAAGAGTCTCACTTATTATCTTAACCCATCCAAATAACTGTCAAAGCATGGCATGTAAAAGAAAGTAGAAGAATTAGGAAATATTTTGACATTATTGTTATAGGTCAACATGATTCATAGTCATTATGAGGAATGGATCTTTATGCTCAGCTGCAAGACCATGAAGATGAAAAGTAAGTCATTCCAGTCTAAGTAAAGCTGGCAACCGGCTCTGAATGCAAAAAAAAATTGGTTCTCAACAGAGTTGGCTTATATTGTTGCATGATATGAATTAAGTTGCTGAAAAAAATTTCCAGAAATAAATCAACATGTTCACACATTTGGGCTCTCAGATTCTATTTTTCAAATGATATTAGTTAAGGCTGTCAATGAAGCTCCAAATTCCACACAAACACATAATTCAGTTATCATTTAAATATTACAATCTATGTAATTTGATATACAACATGAAAAAAATATCACCTACAAGGGCCCAGTATCCGCCCAAACAATAGACAATGAAGAAGATGGCAAGAAAGGAACTGTATGATAGAAACATGCAAAGAAAATCAACCAATTTAAAAATTCCAGTTTTAAATGTTAAAAATCTCTTCTAAAAAAATTTTTTTTAAATTTTTGTCAACTGTGGTTCATATGCATTCAAGTTTCCTTTATTCCTATTACCTTTCCTGCCAAAGTCAAATACCTGGTTCAAGGTGGGGTCATAACCTCCTGTCACTGTCTTCTCGCATCCTTCACATACTATATGCCTCCGGATATCTACCTCGCTATCAAAAGAGGAGAAATAACACATACAGAGAATGACAATGTATTTTTAGTGATTGTTTTTTAATGATCTCTCACATACACTGTAATAATTTTAATGCTTTGACTTTGGAAATTCCTATAGGCTTTCATATTTCAATCCCCGCACACATTCTGAAGATGCCATGCATGTAGTATTCCAAAGCTATGATTTCACTCAGTGAAAAATACAATATTTGGCGAAGTTTCTTGTGGAAAAGTACTTCACAGAAATACTGTACTTCTACTTGCTATAAGTTTTTCTTTGGAACATTTTTGCTGACTATTTGAGATTTACTAAAATGGGATTTTCTCCTAAAAAATGTTTTTACTTATTACAAATATTATTTTTTAACCACAGAGCTGAAAGTTGGTGCAAATAATGCCTAAAAGTCAATATATATTATGCAAATGCTTGGAACTCAAAATCAATGAAGGCTCACTTGCCTTCCGAAATGTGACTGCATGCATGAAGAAATTTTCCTTACCAGCCTGAGCTCTTCAGAGCATCCATCATTAGCTTTATTAGGGGACCTATAAATAAAAAAGAAAAAGGTGCATTTTAAATTGCACTCTAACTCAACAAATGATATACATAAGAGGGTCACTCTGAAAGTCCTGAGATATACTTAAGTATTTTCTCCCTTCAAGTTGACTTTTGCCAATGGATAGAATTAGGTTATGGCCCCTTATGTACCAAGTCTCTTGCTCCTCTCCACATGATGCATAGCTTTGTCCAATCTGGAAACATAATGATGCAGTTGTACCAAACTTGATATCCCAAACCTAACTTGACTGGAGATGGAAAATGGATTTATGCTAATGCCCCAGACAAATAATTGATTGACAGTTCTAGTGTTTCTATTTCATCACTTCACCCTTAATGCCTTTTGAACTTTTAATTTGTGCAAGCCAGTGAATTGTCATCTTTCATAGATAGGAACAAAGTAATCACACACAGTAGCACATGCCAATGTTGTGCATTTCATTCATCAATTCACTTCAGATCAATAAAATACATTTTGAAAAATAAATTTAAAAAATTCAGCAAGAGCTCAGGGTCATAGGGGATATAATCAACTTGAGGGAAGCACACAAATCAGAATATATATGAACACTTTCAGTTTTACCTTGTAAATCAATAAGTAAAATGAAACAGGGAAGCATCTTCAGAGTTCTCATTTAAAAAATGGACCTATGGGTGATTTATGTCCATTTGTCATGATTCATCTAAGATGAGGGCAATGTAAAATTTATGTGATGACATGGGTATACCTTTCTTCTCAACTTATTCACTTTTCTACAAACTCATGGATAATAGATGGGCCAGATTGATGAGGCAGAAAAACTTGACCATCTAAGGCAGGGATTGGGAACCTGTGGCTTATGAGCCAAGAAGTTTGGCTCATGAGTCATGGCTAAAAATCATGGTTGTTCCTTATGTTTCTCATATATGTTTGTTGCTAACTTAAGGGAAAATTACGTTGAGTTGAAAATATTTGGTTCATGGCTCATATGGTTCATATGGTCATATTTGGCACTTGGCTCAATCTGAATATGACTCACATGACCCCTGATCTAAGGAGATGGATGGGGGACACAAAGCTCAACTAACTTTTCTCGATGACATAGGCAACCCGGCGTTCACATTTCTGTCTATCTATTTCCCCTTTGTCATCACCCCACCATAGCAGATCCCACCAGCCGACTTTTCTCTTTCCTCCCTTCCTTTCTGGATATAGGTCATACCCCCACTTTTCACCTTCATCTCTATTCTGCTCCTTTGCCTCTTGATGCTCCTCACTCATTTTGCTCAAAGCATCACTGACTCATACTACTTGCACCAGAAACAGGAAAACAATGACATCAAAAGATAATGATAGCCATGACTACAATGATCCTTAAACAAGTCTATGAAATACATCAGGATACATATGCTATCTTCTCTATAGAAGTAAATATTCCCCTTAAGGGAAAAGAAAAATTCAAGCATAGAGTATCCTTAGGCCATCATTTCCTACATTAGCTACAATAAGCACAAAAAAACTGCAACACCAGCCTAATTAAAGTATGCCTGAATTCCAGTTTCCACAAAATTGATGACTATCATAAACCTTTTCTAGTGATACTATGCAATGACTTTTAACTTTTAGCAAAAGTGATTAGTAAACAGACAATTCAAGAGAAGCAAAATTTTCTAACTCTTCAGACAGGAACTTGGTATGTATCTCCAAAGGAGATATATTCACATATTTTATACTTTGCCAGCATGTCACTTTGGGTAACAATTTTAGGTTGCTTGGATTAGCACATTCACTGTTTGGAACTTAAACGAATGAAAATTTTCAACATACCTTCAGTAATGTTTAAGGGTGTGGTATCTTGTATGCAACCCTTGTAGGTTAGGAGATATTTGAATGACCTCTTGAAGAAATAAGTAACTATTAGAAAGACAGTGTGAAAACAGCTAATAGTCATGTATGGCCTTGGTGAAACAGATTCATGAAAATGGCTATAGCTGTATATGGCAGCGAATGTGTCAATATGGAAGGAAGATGTCTCTGTTCACTGTGGTCAGGTTGGAGATAGACCCATCTTAGAAGCGCTTTTGAGGGAATAACAGATTCACCTGCCTAGGCTTATAATTATGAATGAGGTTTTTCTAAACCTTTACTTAACATTAGTTGGAGTATAATGCCATCAGCCATTGGCTGGGAGGATATCCTTGTTGAAGAAAGGCACTGATAAATGAAGTCATGGATTCATTGAGGTCAGTGGCATATGCATTAATTATTCGTACTTTTTTCAGATTGAATCTGTTGTCCCCCATAAGAGTATTTTCATTGATTGCAAGTAGTGACACCTTTCGCAAGGATGATTTTATGGATTGTCTGATTAAGCAGATCCTCTGGAAATAGTGCTTCTTCCATTCTCCACTAGCCAGGTGGGTTATGAATTCAATCTGAAAAAAGTGTAGGTGGGGGATGGTTCCCAAGTTCTTCCTTCCTCTGCCATCACCCTCCTTCCTACTGCCTATTTCCTTTTCCAATTTTCATCAGTGGTAAAACCAGAAGATTCATTTCACATGCCCTATTTAAAAACAGACATAAACATTTAACAGAGTTGCTATCTGGATAACCATATGAAAGAAGATTTAAAAACATAAAGTGAAGGAATGTAAGTACCACAAGGTTTCTTTCATTTTATGAAACTTCTTTCGATAATATATCAAAAGAAATAGAAACCTTTTTTAATATTTCAAAATGGATAACGAAACCCTGACATGTATTATATCCATCACTGATACTGTCTAGGAGCTGAGGATTTAATTAGCCTTGAGCTAACATTATCTGGTTTTTTGGCATGCTTACGCCTATTCATATGGGAAGCATTTCTTCTGTAGCCTTTGGGTTCCAAACTCTCGCTGGTGGTCGAGATGCATATGCTATGAAGAGACCCATTTTGTACCAATGTGCATGTGCCACAGACTTACGGTGACGTTCTTATACTACCACCTCTTTTGAAGACGCGATCTTTTAGGCCAAGGTATGGCCACTCCACTCCCAACACTATTAGCTCATAAGTTGTCCTGCGCTTGCTTAGATACTTCATGCTCGTGTTTCATACATTTGAAAAAGCTCAATGAGAATAAAATCCGGGACCCAATACTGGCTTAAAGGAGTCTTAAAATGTAACATAATAGGAAGCGTGAGGACCACGTGCCACAATCACCGGCCCCAATTCACAAGTGGCCCTGGATACTGTGGCAGTGTTGCTAAATAGGAGGGAATCAATCCCAGCAAACAAGGCTACATTGGACCAACAGTGTATCAACGTTTCGAGCGTTTATTTGATGTTAATTCAACATTATGTGTTTCAAAATTGTTTGCTGGGATTATCACTTTCGTAATGTATGTTAAGACTCATCCCAGATAACACGCTACGTTGGGCCGACATTGGATAAAGGTGGGAAACGTTGGCGGAACGTGAATGTTGGGGAACGATGTTGGCCCCATGTGGGTCCAACGTGGGCATATCCACACGTTGAAAAGAACTGCAGCACTCCTGGTGGAGAACTTCAAAACCTAGAAGTACCTCGCCAGGCCCAGGCCAAGCCACTAGATGTAGGTTTCGCTTTTCGCACAGCACGCAAAAGATCCTTTCCCTCTTTCCCGGGAATCGTCATTCGCAGGAATGTTTAGTGCCTCGCCAGGCCATAAACAAACTCATATTCCCGATGAGAATCCTTTTGAAAGACAGGAGAATTTCATCCGAAAAGGAGTTCTGAAATATAGAGGGAGCATCTGTGAACTCAATTCCGAGATTTCCTTGCCTCCAATGCATGAGGAGGAAATGAAGGACTGGTATTACGGATACTTCATGGAACTGTACGAGGTGGTCCATCCTCTGACGCGTACTGTAATAAGTACAGTCAGGGGAAGATCCACGTCTGTAATGTCCTATATCCCCTGCCTATCAGGATATGTATACATGTCCTTGACAGGTTGTAGTACATAGATCAGGTTCCGAACTAGAGATGGGAATACCTTCACTGGATAGGGAATCTAAGTATATGGTATGAAATTATGATATAGAGCAAAAACCAGTTACTTGGATAAGTGGGTTATACGTTGCTATCCAACTTACTGTCAACGTCGGCCCCACGTTGGCCCAACGGTCACTTTCACGTGGGGCCTACGTGAACAACCTACGTTGGGCCTCAAGAAAAATGTTATCTGGGATAACTTCCGTCCTCGATTGTTTTGAATCAGTGATGCACAACCCGCGGGCCGTGGGCCGCATACGGCCAACGGAGACCTTCTTTGCGGCCCCTTGGATGCCTCCGGTCCCTAAAGATCCATTTTAATATGCGACCGATTTCGGCTCATATCGAGGGCCTGCGGCCCTCGAACATGGGACGTCATGAGAAGTCTCAATTTGGCCCTCTAGGGAGAAAAGGTTGTGCACCACTGGTTTAGATAAACCGCTCACGAGACAAGTCTCAAAAGTTAACTTGGGTTACAGAGGGAATAAGACAGGATGTCCCAGAAGTTTCAGAGGATAGAGAAAGGAAAGTTGTTTCCTTGTGACCAGAGGCTGGCACTCTTTTCAGGAAAGGTAGAAAATGGACTAACTAATAGAATAATCCTTTTTCACTCAACTTCGGACATAAATTGAAAATTTTAAAAACCCATTGCCTTCCTTAGACGACGATCCAAATTTATGATTCCGTACCTCTGGGATTGGCGACCCATAACTCTGTAATTACGAAAGATAGAGGCGTTATGTTTTAACTGAAGATGGCTAAGGAGACAAACAAAACTGCTATCACAGAAATTGAATGAAAAAAAAATTAAATAAAACTTTAATAAATCGTAACCTCTGTCACCAAACATTTGCCGCACCCTGTATGGATTACCCGCTAAGGAAAGGTGCACACCGCTAAAGGAGGTAGAGCCTGTTGATAACGATTAACCGCGGTCGCCCCCCCTCCACCCCCACCCCCACCCCCACCCCCATGGAAGATTTCGGCAAAGCTTTTAAGGGCATTCGTTACAAAAAAAAAATATTTTAAAGAGCAACTGAGAACTTTAAAGTCTACATAAAATTATACAGTAGTACCAAAAGAGCATAAATCTATTAAGTAATTTACGGGTTAACTTGTGATAAGAAATGTTAGGACTGTTATTTTCCGAGTATGAACAGTAGTTTTCAATGGAAGTAGTTTTCCGAAAGCGTGTTTTTTTTAAATACTTTTTAAATTTAAAATTTTGTTATTATTGAGAAACTAGTCAACTAGTCAACATAGGAAATTGACATTTTCACCACATGTTCTGTGTATTATTTTATACAACTTCCGGTATGTTGGTGCGTGTACTGCTAATAAATTGCTGCAAAGAAATGTAAAAATTTCACACTTTTTCTTTTCAAAATTCGAAATTTCAAAATAATCATTATTATATACTTTAATAGATTAATGTTCTTCTGGTGGGTCTACTACTGTATCATTTGATGTCAACTTCAAAGTTTCCAGTTGTTCTTTAAAATGATATTCGTTTTTCGGTAGCGAAAGCCCCTAAGTCGCCAGTCACTCAGCCCCCTTCCCACCTCCCAAAGCCCAACGAAGCGTCCCCTCTACTACAGCAATTACGCACTCAAGCTAAAAAGCAAGACTCTTGAACTTAATAGAGCTGCAAAGGCAAATTATGAAAACTCCGAACAACCTCTGCGCGGCCATAAGAGGAGTTTCCCACCCCCCAATTCCACCTCCTCACCCCTGTCCTCCGCAAGCTCGCCTTAGTGATAAGTCGTAATGGTAAACCTCCCTCTGATCGTGATGTGTATGCGAACGTTAATGGCTTTCGCCCCAAACGAGCGGAATAGGGTAAGTGCTGCGAATGTCGGCATTGGGGGTAATCTCGGCACTTTGCAATCGTCCAAATACTGCTTTCACTACTAATCCCCTAGGCAAGGGTAGATAAGTATTCTCAGTTGGTAGGACTAATGCTGTTAATATGTGCTTGGAACAGCCATATTTGATGTGGTTTTCTCGCAGTGGATACTTTCTCTAGGCGCACTCCGAAAATACTGCGAAATCTCGCGATTTTGCTAAGCTTTGGCACATTCCATTCTTCTCTTCCACACTAGGTATTGTTTAATCAGGTCGTTGCATTCACTTTTGAGTCCGTTGTAATCGACAATGATACACATGTGTGCTGAGGTTTCTGACGGGGTGGTGCCGTCTACACCAGCAAGTGTGCCGAGATTGCCAACATCTGATCTAACTTCCCCTTTGACCCAGGCCCTCGGAAAGGAAATTTCTGGGGTGCTCGAAGAT